CATGGGAAACACAAGCGCGCCGTCACTTATCACAGCACCCGATCCTCCACCGCCAGTTAACTCGGTCAAGGAACGAGAATATCCTTTAGGTTCAGGCTTCACCACATGGGTCTCATTCCATCTGATTTTCTTCGTCCCATTTTCTTCAATGACAGTTCCCTTCACGAGCAAAAGGCCCCGCTCATTCGTGCCCCCAACCTGCGGCCTTGTACGGCTGTAGTTTCCCAGGAGTACGTAAACACTGTCCTCAATTACAACCGTCGTTGGTCGCGTTATGCCGTTTCTGGTGTTGATGACCTCAGAACCTTTCTTTAGAAGATCTGTGCCAAAGATACTCGCATCCGCCGTCGAGATCTCGGTTGGACCAGAAACACCACTTAAACCAAGGTACTTTGACGCAATCCCAGTAAAGCCGAATTTGCTGCACTTGTCTCCATCTCTGCAATGGGCCTCAGCAATAGCAAATACATGACCCTGCACCTCAACGAGACTGGGAACGCGGAGCGAGCCATATTTACCACCAGCGTCAGGAACATCCTCCCAGTTTTCAAGCTTTTCCCATCCAATCCCCATCAACGCATCAACTGTACCCCTTACATTACTCCCCCCAGCAGAAACAGCTCCACCAATCCCACAGCACGTCACGAAAAGAAGAAGCAGCACCGCGGAAGCAAACACACGCCGGGACATGTGGGGCCTCTGCGGCTCACTCTCTCTTCCTTCCCTCCTCCCTCCGCTGGATCCGGTCACGCGGCGACGGTTGTGTGTGCGGGGTGCCTTCACTGCAGCAACACGTGAGAGCATACAAATATGTGTGTGTGCTGTTGGTCCTTTCACTGCCTTCGAATTTCACAGTAGCAATTCGCGTTTTGTTGCTTTCTTTCCTAGCGTGTTTGTGTTCAAGAGGTGGAGAGTACAGAAGCAACAGCGGTAATACATCAGGCAAGTCAGTGAGAATCAGAGCAGAACTCCTACACAGAAGGCAGCACAATAAACAATCCGGAAGGGACAGCACGGAAAACCATCGCACACAGAAAACAGCAACAGCAACAACACGGCAAGTCACGGCGGAAGCCAACACTCACGCACACATGGACGCGGAATTCCATCATTCGGCGACGCCATTCAAAGTCCTGCCGAAACAGTCCGCAAGTGATACAGTGGTCGGTCACACGCTCCCGGTGGACTGCCGCGGCAAGGACGCGGTCACAAAAGGAATTATCTGCACAAACGTGGGCAGCACCAATTCACAGCACCGCCGCACGACACACGCTCTCTCGGTCCATCCCACGCCCCGCCTCAAAAGGCCGCGGCAAGCACCAATCAACAAGATAATGAGGCGGCGGAAACAAATTCCCTGCAGGCCCTTCAGGGCTCCACAGCAACGCCACCAACAGGAGCGTGCAGCCCTCTGCTTGCAGCAGTGCAGGCCTCTTTGCTCCCGGCCTCTCGGGGCGTTGAACACTACCCGACCATCTCGCGCCCACAAAAAAAGCCGCACGCAGATGCCATTCATTTCATCCGCAAATGGTGTTGCCGTGCTGAATCATGTGCAAATAATCCACAACACGTCACCCAAAGTTTCTTTCCATTGTCACACAAGAAAACGACAAAAATGCTTTGAAAAGTCAACATAAATACCACTCCGCCCTACTCACTGCGCATTGCTCCGCACAGGATCGTTGTTACTCGCCCTCTGCCCTTCGCCCATCCCATTCCTGCCTGCCAGGACGGACATCACAGTCGCAATCCCTCCCAAGAAAGACCTTACCACATGCTGGCAAAAGCCACATTTTTCCCTCTGCATCCCGGTCTCCCGCCCACAGGAGGGCGAACAGGGGGATTGCGTGCATGTGCGTGTGGATGGCCATGTGCAAAACTCATGAAATTCAAAGAAATAAGGCACGCAGAGTGACCCCACCCACGGATTGGAGGTTCACTCGTACACCGCCGCAGGAAGAGCAAACGTCCTCTCGTTGCTTTTCTGGGAAGCCGATTCATTACCATCACGCCGCCTCAACAGCGTGTACCGGCGAGCGGAGGAGGTGACTGCTCAATCGCACCTCGTGTCGGAGGCGCCCACAACGTCTCCCTGCGGCCACGTGCCGTCAGCAACAAGCCGCACAACAGAACGCAACAAAATTCACTCACTCGCTAATAAAATAAATAAAAATGCATCTCGCCGCCATAAAACGGCCATCAACATCCATTTCACGGCAGACACCAAATGCCAAGGGGTTAAATAAAAAAAAATACGCGTATGGTCTCCCACAATACATTCCAGCAAAGGATAGTCTCTCAATCCTGGAAATAAACACCGTAAAGTCACAGAAGCCGCCTCATCGCGCCAAAAATCGTGTGGTGCCCCTCCTCGCAATGCTCTGCTGTCCGCAGACACCGCCCTCTGTGGTGTTCCGGCAAAAGCGAAAGAAGAAACGTTCACAAACCAACAGCAAGAGAAACCTCCACCCGCAACGTGTGCATCACCGTGGAGCATCGCCTCTCTCCCCGCAAGTAAAACAGGCGCCGTCACACCATCCGCAAGGATCGCCACAAACACGCCAAATTGCAAAGTACGCAACACGCTCCGCCGCGACCATCGTTTTCCCGATAGCGCAGCCCACTTCCGTCCACCGTGTCTGCCAAGCAGGACACACCAGGCCTGCCGCTGCAACGCAAAAAAGATTCAGAAATACGCAACGGATCCCGTCGAAGTCGTCGACTCAGCCGCCGTGTTGAGGTTTGGGATAGGCCGATGGAAGAAGAAAAAAAAAACGTGCAAAAAGCCCCGCGGAATCCCGCATTCCGCGCAGTCCCAATGGCCAGAGGGTCCTCGAGGGACGCCTGGGGGACGCATCCGCCACACTCACACGCACCATCACTCACGGCTCCCCAATCGAGTCCAGCGGGCCCCGTGAAGCACACGGCGCGCCTCAGTGGCGTGGCAAGCAGCCTTCTCGGAGAAAAGGACGCGTGGCGATGGTTCCCCTCCCCGCTTCACTTTTATTTTCTTTCTCCTCCTGTTTTTGGTGGCATGTCACAGAAGGGGAGCGTACTTCATGTCCCCGAGCCCTTCTCTCGGTGCGCACAAAAACAGAGAGGGAAATAATAAACGAGTGGGTCAGGCGGCACGGAGAAATAAATGTGCGGGAAACAAACAAACCAACAAAATAAACAAAGAGCCCGACAGATATGCACGCAGCATATCCAGCGCAAACGGGTGTCACCTTCAGTGGGTAACTTAGTGGCCAATGGCGGTGTCGATCGCCCACGGTGAGAAACAGCGTTATGCCCACAATATTTTTGGCTTGTTTTCTGCTTCCCTCCCCTTTCATTTCTCCCCCATCCATCATCTTCATTTTTCTTAATTGCTACTTCCCTCTCCTACCATCGGCTACACGGCCAAGTTTGGACGCTGCGCCCTCCCCCTGTCAGGCCAAACATATGTTTGCGCTCTTTAAAACCCATGGCGTACTCGCTTAAATATCGTTTGTGTAAATAAAATAAAAAAAGAACTTTTAATAATTGAAGTGAAAAATAAAACAAAATAATAAAAACAAAAAACATGCGACTGGCGCCAGTTCATCTTCCTTTCGTCGTGAAAGGATGCAAAAGAGTCCTGTCGTACTCAACCTTTGGAACCCCTTGCTCCTCATCATGCCAGTGGGCCCGAATGAGCTGTATGCGTGCCTCATCCTTCACCCAAACGTCTGCGGGGGACCATGCCGTCATATGGCTCCTTGCACCCGCCACTGCACGCCCGTGGACGGTTCCACTTCATCATGGCATATGCATCGTTCGCACTCAAAGACTTGACGCGACGGTACCAGAGAGCGTCCGGCAGCTCCATTTTATTAGAGAAACGAATATTCGAGCTGCCACGATGCACAAATTTGCCGCATAAGACATTCCGCTCCTGAAATCCAGGCAAACGGAGACGTTAGCTGTAGTCGACATCCTCCACGCAAGCCGGGTAGAAGTTCTCGTCAAAATATCCCACCGTACTGATCGCCAGGCGTGTCAACATAACAGACACAAAACAACTGCTTTTGTAATACGCGCAGAAGTGCCCGCAATGCTTCGAAAACATCGTTTCACGCTCCCTCGCAGAGGCATAACGAATGCGGTCAGGCAGCAGCGCAGACGTCGACAATCGGTCATCGTTCACCGTGGAGCGCAGCACCCTCAAGCCCCGTCGCAAAACGGGACTGTACTCGCTCGGCTCATTCGCCGCTTCCGCCGCCAACTCATCCATGCGAGCGGCATCATGCCTCGTCATTTCATGCACATCGCGTAGAAGGTTGGGAAGAAGATCGGGTGAAAACATTACGTCGCTGTTTGTCACAAAAACAAAAGGCACTTCCTCGCGCGGCAGCGAGAGTGCAAGCCGTGACCCGATGTTCGCGGCAGCGCTGTACCCGATGTTTTCCGGGTGACGACTCACAACCAGGCGTCCGGACCACCCATAGACCCTCTCGAGTTCCTGCAGGCACAACGACAGCATCGCCTCCCGCCCGTTCTGCACCAAAACCAACAGCCGGATGGGCGCACTGATGTTGCACATCATCCTCCGAAAGTCCATCAGATCGAGCATCAGCGGGACCACCATCAAAGGGATAACGTCCGTCCCGTTATTTCCCCCAGCCGCCGTGTCGTTGGGTCCACCACAAGCCTTTCCCCGACGCAGTGGATATAGTCCGCCCTGGTCGGATCAGCACCAAACCATACGTGGGATCGTCGCCAAGTAGGGGCTCCACCCTCCCGCCACCAAAAACATCATGGACAACTAATTTAATGTTAGAAGAGAGATAAAGCACCCTTTCCAAAAAAGGCTCGTGGCTTCGGTGTCTAAAGCGCGTGTAACTCCGCGCATATACCGTTGGAGGCAAAGCCAAAGGAGCATCTCCTGAAAGAAAGCAAAAGAAGTACAAAAGAAAAATGTGCTCAATGATGTTTCTGTGCGAATTTGAACAAAAAAAAGACTCCTTCCAGCGCAATGGCCATGCACCTCCATTTGGTGAGTGAAGTGGAGGCACGGAGCACGCAGGAGTCTCAACATGACCAGAAATAAAATAAGCAACAAAAGTAAAAATGGCTAAGAATGAAAACAAAAAAAAGAGACCAATGGCACAGTAACAAATGCAGTTCTCGCCGCAGCATGCAAAGCTCTCATACATCCCGTAAAAAAAAAAAGGATGGCGGAACACAACAGTCCAGGGTGTCATTTGTAATGGCACATGATTCCATAAAGAATAAAAGTGTTCGTTGAGGAGCCCAAAATGCAATGAATTTTGGGGGGCACCCAAATCGCGGGCCAACAAGCCTGCGGCACCCACCACACATCCCGCACCGCTCAATCCCCATTCCTCTCATGTAACTCCCAAAAAAAGCACCGTCACCAGACATCCTACATGCCCGAAAACAACAAACATATTTTAAACCGTCCTATCGACACCCGCGAATAATAAAGAGACTTCAGTTCAGCATAAAGACGTCGCGGGCACAAAAATATA